CTGATAGCAAGGCTGTTCACGTCCCTGCTCTATGGTTGAAGGGGGTTCATCGGAGGCTTAGGCCATGTGGGGTCCCTACAAAGGGGTTTGGGGCTTTCACTGCCCTCCATAACCTTCTGCAAACCGGCCGGGTGCTCAGAATTGAAGCTCTAATACGATTCCCTCCGCCAGTCTTAGATTTGGTAATTTACAATCTTTGGATCACACCGATGGGTTGTGCTTTGGCCTTTTAACCACAATGTTAGCAGTTCACAATCACCAACTGCTCAACTGTGGAAAAACGAGAATTCTACTCCCAAAAGAAAATTGTACTCCCATAAAGAGTTGTAGGCTCGGCAGCATGGCATAACCCAGGGGCTACACCAGAAGACTTAACATAGAGGCGCAGCAGAATGAACTGTGCCCTGCCTTGATGCTGGCTGCACTCTTGGACTGGGGACTGGGGTACTCGGTTGGGAGAGGAATAAGACAGTTGTCGTGCTGGCTCTGTGGAAGTGGCAGTGATTGGACCTTGGCAGGAACCCCTGGTTTGATGGGTGTCCAGTGGAAAGGTATCCAGAATCACACAAATATTTAGTACCTCGATATCACCCTTGTAGCGATAGAACAGGTTTTGATCTGTTGGGCAGGAATTTGAACTTGGAAGAATCGATCCAGAAGTTTCCACTGGCACCAACCCCCATGCTTAGAGTAAACAGAACTCAGGGGTTGTAGCTCATAGTGGAACTGTACTTGCACAGACTCCTCATACAGTGTCCACAGTGCAGTGTCATTGGACAGATTGATAATGTTACAAGTGCAATCGCCTTATGCCCCAGGCAGATGATTGTCAATTTGTACTTTTCTATTTCTGTGGCGTTTTGTTTCCCTGCCTTTAGCTTGCTTGCTTTTTGTTATCTGCTAATTGGTTTGTTGCTATTGTTGGGGTAGTTGGTCTTATGGGGTTTTGAATTTTTCTTAATAGGACCACCAAAATAAACCTGAGTCATGCATATTCCAGGGACAAGCAGATGGATTCTGGGCCCCCACTTAACTCTTATCCTCAATCCAAGAACAGTTAGTTCTGATAACATGGCCCTGCTTGATGCTCACCTGCATGAA